TAAAAAATTATTATCAGTTGTTTTTATAAAATATTTTTAAAAAATCTAATTTAGTTAATTGTTTTTAATTTTTATAAATAAACATAAATTTATTGGTCAAAGTTTTATATTGTTTTTTATTTATTAATATTTTTATTTTTGTAAATTAGTTAACAATAAGTTTTAAATTGTTTGTATTTATTTAATCTATTTATATATATATAGTAGTATTATTTATAAAATAATAATTAACTGATTAAATAATATTATAACATAATTTAATTTACTGGTATATATATATAAATATACTTTATATTATTTTAATTGTATAAATTAGTTGTTTAATTGATTAACATATACAATAATTAAAATTAATTAGAGTATTAATAAATTTTTATATTACTATTATTATCATTATTATTAAATTTTATTATAATTGGTATAATAAAATATATTTAATAATTAAATTTATGTAAATGTATATTATTTTATATAATATAACTTAAATCATTAATTTAATGAAAAACAAATATATATGTTTTTGTAAAATTAATTAATTTTAATAATAAAATTATTTTTAATATATAAAATATTATATGAAAAATATTAAAGGAAAAATTAGTCAATTATAATAAGTAAAACTATAATATTTTTTTTAATAATAAATAAAGTTAAAAATTTGTTTTATTATTTTACTTATATTTTGTTTTATATAAATTAGATTTTTTTTTGTTTTGTCAAAGATTAAGATAAATAGCATTACATTACTATATAATTTACAAATTGCTTTAAGTTATATATATATATATATATATTATTACAGTAAATACCAATTAAAGTATTATCAGTTGTTATTTAATATATACAGTATATATATATATAAAATCTAATTTAGTTATTTAGTTTTAATTTTGATAAATACACTACAATTTATATAAATTAATATAAAACAAATTTTGTATTGACCAAGTTTTATTTTGTTAGTTTGTTATTTTAATTTATTATTGTTATTATTATTATTATTATTATTATTTTGGTAGTTATCAATCAGTTTTTTTGATAAAATTGTTTTTATATTTTATTATTTTCCTCCATTTATGTATAGTAATCACAAATTTAATATATAATTTATGATTATTTTTTGTTGTTGTTTGTTTAACAATTTAGTTTTTGAAAAGTTTAATTTAGTTTAATTAATTGACTAATAAAATAAATATTTTTAAACAACAAATAAAATATGACAATTGTTTTTAATATTACTTAATTAGTTATATAATGTTTTAATTTAACAATGATTTAAAATCTATTTTTAATATATATATATATATTGAATATATAATTATAGTAATTTTTAATTAAATTATTACATCCGGATTACATAGTTAATAAATTTTATTATAATAATATTTTATTATATAACAGATAAAGTTTATTGTGATTATTTGTTTTTTTTATTTAAATAAAAACAAATATATTAAATTATAATCGTTAAAAATGTTTATCATTTAAATGCTGTTTATTATAATTATCTAATTTAATAAAATTCATTGATATTTTTATTATTTTAATTTTTACTGTTATTATTATTATTATTATTATTATTGTTTACTGTTATTATTATTAATATAAGCTCAAGTATGACAAAAATTACAATAAAAATAAAATTTTTAATTAAACTATTTGTTAAAACATGGTTCACACTACTAGCTGTTAAATACAGTAATATATAATATTAAATAATTATAATATAATAATTAAAAAAAATAAAAAATTTATTTATTTGCATAATTTGTAGTGAACTTTACAACAACAACAAAAATTTCCATAATTTTTGTTTGTATATTATATGTTTAATAATCCCTTATATTATTACATGTTTAAACACACACACACACACACACACACACACACAATATTTTATTTTTTAAATAATTTAGTTTTTAAAAATTTTAGTTACCGGTAATACAGTAGTTAATCGTTTTATTATTATTATTATTACTAGTAGTTGTTTGTTGTGTGTATTATTATTATTTATTTATTTTTTAATATACATGTATTTAATTTATAAATATTGATGTTAGTCTATGACTAACATAAAGCTTAAATGGACAGGTAGTTAATTAAAAAAAACATGAAATTCAATACAACAATAATACTATAATATATATATAATACTATACAATAATCTCAATAATAATAGTAATTTAATGTAGCATAAGATAACTGTATTTTATTTTGTTGTTTTTTTTAATACACATTTTATTAGCTAAACGTGTGATACACTTACAATATAATTGTGATATCAAGTGTTTGTTTGTATATAAATTTATATATATATATATTAATTTATTTCAATTTTATTATCCATTATATTTAAAATAAAAATAAATAAATAAATATACAGTTTGTTGGGAACCATTGTTGTGGTTTTCAATTTAGTTAAGTAAAAGTTTTTATTAACTAAATTATATAAATTATTTATTATTATTATTATTAATAATAATTTTACTATTGTATTGTAAATTGTATACATAAACAGTCGTATTTAAATTATAAATTCAAATAAAATTACATAGTACACATTTTATAAATATTAAAATAAAAAATTATGTACATTTAATTTTTTTTATATAATTTAATATATAATTAATTAAAAATTAAAAAAGTTTGTCAATTGTCAAAAAATAAAACTATAATACATTAGCACCTGGTCATCAATTATACTGTATATTATATTTAAGTTAATTAAATTAATTTAATATAAAAAAACAAAACAAAAATATTCCCATATATTGTTACTTTTATATACAGTATATAAACAATAAATAATTAGTGAATATAATGATAATAATTTTTTTTACAAATATTTCAGATATTATATTCAATATATATGTTATTATAATTAATAATATGTAGAGTAATCTGACTAAATAATTTTATAATTAATAATAATATTATTTATTTATTTTTTCTAAACAAAATTTAATCAAAATAATTAAACACATACAAACTAAATGGCTAAATGGGTATAATTAATATTTATATAATATCCTAAATATTTAGTGTGTGTGTGTGTGTGTATTTGTGTGTATGTATATATGTATGTATGTTTGTGTATGTATGTATGTGTGTATTTGTGTGTATGTATATATATGTGTGTGTGTGACTGTAAGT